GTAGATATCCTAAATGTGTAAAGTTGGCAAATATGAGGAAAATGGACGTTAACATTATTCTCAAGTGCATTCCTTAAAACTAATTAAATGTAGATTTCTATAATAGACATTTTTTAACAAAACGAGAACAGACAATGGGCAGGACAGCTCCCAAAGACAAAGCATTACCCAGCCCACAATGTGAACAGTGCCAAGATTGAGGTCACCCATTCCAGCCATTTTCAGGGTTTGCCATGAGTTGGTTGGACACAAGAGAGAGAATGACACTTGCCTGTGAGCTAATCCCAGCAGAGACTGAACTAGAATCTAGTTCTGCTCACCTTCAGACCAGTTTATTCCCTAGCGTTACATTACAGCTCACAACTCTCGTGTGTCGACTCCTTCTGTAGAGAAAGTAACTTCAGCGTAAACACCCACACTCCCTCTCGCACAGGTCATATTCTCAGATGGCCTAAAATGGTATCATTCTTTTTCTCCTCCTATTATTTATTTTCTCATATCTGAATTCTCCTGCCCTAGTTTTCTAAATTTTTCATTTTTACATTTCTGCAAAGATGACCCAACAGCAATTGAATAAATAACTCTTGAACTGACCCCTAAGCAATCCAAGAAGGCATGATGGGAGTCCAAAACAGATTTTTCTTGTGCTAAGGATACAGTTTAAAGTATTTTTGTGATGACCTAGATGTGAGGATGTGAGGCAGGGTATGAAGATTCATAAAATCAGCACTTACCTTCTTAAAGTCTGTCTCCCACTTGACTCAACAACTCAAGGCCAGCCCCTCAGGTGTTCACAAGGTGTTTTTATAATGGAATAACTCCTCCCTCTGGAACGGGTGGAGCCCAGTCAAGGAAAAGCCACTTCTACAGAGTTCAGGGTTAACAGTTCATGATAGATTAGAAGAAAACTGCCAAGTCATTCTCTCATCACAAACAATTGGTTAATATATTTCTTTTCAAAGTAAGAATCAAAAGATACACAAAATTTTAGCACATTTGCACTCTCTCTGCCTGCCAGTGGGACATGGCTTTCTGAAGAAACTTACTGTGAGGTTTTCATGAATGGGATGGAAGGACAGAGGCAGATGAGAAACCTCTGCCATGAGCAGAGCAGGAGCTGATGTCAGGAAGGGGCAAGCAGAGTTCTGGAATGCTTTTATATTGGTTCACAGACAAAACAGAGAACACCTGATTAAATGTGAATTTCAGAGAAATAATTAATAATTTTTTAGTATAAGTGTATCCCAAAGATTGCATGCTACCCATCCAGTGTAGGCATCCCCTGCCTCAGCAATTGCTGACAATTTTTTTCCTCCATACCGTGTAGTGTGTGGTATGGTGGGCCCCTAAAAAGATGGGTCCATGTCCAAAAACCTGCAAACTGTGAGTGTGACCTTACTTGGAAAAAGGGTCTTTGCAGATGTAATTGAGTTCAGGAAGTGAGATGAGATCGTTCTGGATTCTCCTCATGGGCCCTAAACCCAATAACACATATGTTTATAACAGAGGAGAAAACACAACACACAGAGGATGAGGTGAGGTGAAGATGGAGTCAGAGGTGGAAGTAATGTGTCCACGAGCCAAGGAAGCAAAGAACGCAGAAAGCCCCCAGAGCTGGAAGAGGCAGGAAGGCGTCTCCCTGAGACCTTTTGGAGGAAGCGAAACCCAGCTGACACATTGACTTGGGACTTCAGGCCTCCAAAAGTGTGAGAGAGTACATTCCCTTGTTTTAGCCGCCCTGCTGGAAGTAATTTGATGTAACCACCACAAGAAATTAATATCAACTCCCACCTACTGCTCCCATTGCTATGCGATTATTTTGAAACTAATCCTGGACAGCATATCACTCCATCTATCAACAGTTTACTGCATTCATCTGTAAGAAGTAAGCACTCCTTTGCTAAACAGAAGCAGACTATTAGCCTATCACGCTAACTTTCCATAATTCCTTCATTTCATTAAATATTCCGGATTCTAATTTCCCCCAACAACTCATGAAGTTTCCTTACTGTTGGTTTGAGAGTATCAGGGAAAGTAAGAGTATATAATAAAGCATCAAATGCTATATTGTAATATGCATATTTCATTTAAGTTGTCACGGGCCTCTTTGACGTCAAAGTATACATGTTCTAGAAACTGCAGTGACTGAAGAGCCTGTCACCATGTGAATGTGCTAAACTCTCAGCACCACAAGAGCCAGGAGGGTGGATATTGTGATTTTTATTAAACTCTTCACTCCTTAAATAGGCGCTGACACACCAGCAATGAATGCACATTTGTTGAATGAATGAAAGAAAGATTTAACGCTTTATAAAGATAGTTTTATTTATGTGTAAGCCTCCTATATCTCTTACAATCATATTTTTGCTTCATGATTTTTATTTAGTGTGATTTCGGGTAGTTCTGATCTAGAAATAGTCTCCTTACTTGCAAAGAGAAATGATAACTAAGACAGGTACTATGTCTAATGATGGAGTTTAATTTCCTTAGTTTTGCAAGACTTTCCTAAAATCTAGGAGCGATGTCCCCAAAATTTGTAGATTATTTTCCCTTGGTATCTCTTCACCTGTGGCTTCCTCTCCATCCACTGCCCTGTCTCTGTTTAGATACATCTCTTCTCTTCCCTGACACTCTACCACATTCTCCTGATGGGAAGCTGGTCTCATGTCTCCCTACATGTGTTGCCAGAATATTTTCTAATGTATTGCTTTCATCGCGTTTCTCCTGGAGCTAAAGCCGCTGTCTGGTGTTCTCAGGATCTGCTCTAATCTCTAGTGTGGCTCCCAGAGCATTCCACAGCCCAAGCTCCACGACCTTGAAATTCCATTGAATAGAAAAGTCTGCACTACATCCTAATAAATTGAAATTTTGCTGAAAATTTTTAACTTGGGTCAAACTAGTGCAACTCTATCTCACAGTGGATTTTTATAAAATGCCTTGAGAGTCAGGATACTCCATTCACTAGGATTCAGGAAGGTTGGGAGTAAAGGTCATTGTCCCAGGAATACCCAGTTCTCTTCTTCTTTCTCCTCTAAACTCAGTGCACCCAAGATGCTGAACAACCAACTCACTTTTTCAAATACAAAGAAATAAAGATTTGTTGTGCTCTCTTTGGCCAGAGTAATCTTGGCATCTTTGTCATCAGGTGGGCATATGGGTAAAAGCAGGATCGTTTCACTCAAATCTTTCACACCTTCTATGTACACACCAATCTTGAAAGACAAAAATGACTGAAGTGTCAAATGCCACCTGCCTTAGATTTTATAGTTGAAAAATGTAAGAGAATGGAGCATCAGGAGGTGGCAAAGGAATTCACCTCCATTGGGAGCATTTTTATAGGCCAGTCATTCACCTATGAGTTTTCCCTGATTTTCACATTTCATTCTAAAACAAGCTCTCGAGGTAGATATATGTTAAAATTTTTGTTACATGCATGACCAAACATACAGACAGAGAGCATCGGTGACCTGCCCTGAGTCACAGACGTGAGAAACATTGATGGTATCACTGCAAGCAACCACTGAGACTCTAGCTAGGGTTTGCCAGCTCTGCTGGGTTTGTTCTGTGCACAAACTCAGTGTGGTTCACACAGCCAATGACCTGCCACCTAAGTCACCTCCACAGGGAGTCCCTGGCACAGCGTCTCAGCCACGTCCCTCTCCCTCTCAGTCTCTTAGACCACCCAGGCCCACATAGTGCCCAATGTTAGCAGCTCCTCCAATGATTTCCATAGAACATGGTTCACAGCCCTCTCCAGGTGCTGCTGCCCAATGCTGACCATGTTTGCATTTCTCAAGAACAAACCTAAAGTATCCCCTGAAATGCTGCAATTCTTCATTCAGTTCCAACCAGGGCATAAGCCAGGTGAAGTTTTTTATTATTCCAAACAGGGATTTCTATAAGATGCTTTTTAAAATAAAAGCTTTATTGACATGTAATTCACACAGCATACTGACAACCTTTAAAGTGTACTATTCTGCAGTTGAATACATTCTGAAACCATCATCACATCCTAATTTCAGAACATTTCTATCACCCCGAGAAGAAATCCAGTGCCCTTGACAGTCACTCCCCATTTCCCCCTGACTTCGTCCCCAGACACCCACGCAATTGCTTTCTGTTTATCTGGATTTGAAAGTGTACACATTTCTTACGATTGGAATCACACACCATGTGGCCTCCTGTGTTTGATTTCTTTCATTTAGTAAAATATTTTCAAAGTTCATCCATATTGTAGCATTTAGTCCCCTTCGTGGCTAAAGAGTACTCCATGGTATGCATATACCACCCTTTGTTCATCCATTCTTCACCTGATGGACGTTTGTACTGCTTCCACTTTTTGAAGGTTATGAAAAACACTGTTATGAACATTTGTGTACCAGTTTTAGCGTGGGTGTATTTTTGATTGTCTGGGTGTCTAACTGGTAGTGAAATTGCTGACTTGTATGGTAACTCTCTGTGTAACTTTTGAATAAGTGCCTCAGTTTCTTACACAATTTTAATTTTGATCATGTGGTCCCATCACAAGAGGGAGGAGATGCCCCAGATATTGTTGTATTGAATAAATCTGCTGCTTCAGTCCTCTATCAAAATGCTCAATGTAACCCTAGCATCGTGGGTTCCACCTCTGCTAACCCTCCTCGGGTGGCCTGTCCATATAATTGGGTGATACATTAGGTTCCTAGTATTCATTCTGGTAAATTCTGGAACTTGAGAATCAGCTTCTTTCGGTCCTTCCCTTCCCCAGCCTTATCGTCTAGACCCTCAGACACTTTGCCCCTCATCTCTGGCTGTGGGCTGGTGTCCAGCTCCTAAAGGTCTGAACACTTGGAGTCATGACTCCACCATCCTCCTGGCTTCTTAGTTCATCAGAGTTTGCAGACCTCTGTCATGGTGCCCTCTCCAGGGGCCGCATCCTCTTCTATAATCCCACTGGCTTGAGTCCACTGCCGGTTTCCTGTCCCTCATCCTCCGAGGTCTCTGCTGTACTGCACCTCAGTCTATACCACCGAGGCCACACTGCTGGTGGTCGTGATCCCCCTGACACAGTCTTGGTCCCTTAGTGAAGGACCTGAATTGTTCCTATTAATTGTTGATGAAAGAGCAGGAGAAATACCGTACGGGGCTCTCTCCTTGATGTCTTTCCCATAGAGGTTGTGTTTGGTGGCAATGTAGTTGAGAATGGCTCTGCTCTGCACCAGCTTCATCCCATCAATTTCGACCGTTGGCACTTGCTGGAACATCAAACTCCCATCTTTTGAAGGAAGAAAAGGAAAAGTAGAGGGAAATGTTTTATGGATCACATACTTTGAGGATGAAAAACTCTTTGTTGAAATGACTGGAGGTGTAACAACTAAAATTACTGTATAGCACTTTAACAGAAGAGCATTTATTTTTAGCTTCCTACAGTCTTTCTTTTTCTTATCAATCTCCCTTTTGATTTTTAATCCATTATTTCATTTTTGTTTTTATTTCTCATCCAGATGATGATTGATCCCTGTTTTTTTGTGTTCGATTTCTCTTCATGGATATTTTAGGAAGAAGTTGGGAGAAGCTGCAACAGGGCCACCAGCCGTTTGCCATTTCAGTTGGGAAGTTCCCAAAATAAGTGTCATGATGTTCAAGGCATTTAAGGCAGGTTTTCACAGAGATTTCTCCTGCTCTTTCATCAACAATTAATAGGAACAATTCAGGTCCTTCACTAAGGGACCAAGACTGTGTCAGGGGGATCACGACCACCAGCAGTGTGGCCTCGGTGGTATAGACTGAGGTCCCTTTCCTTGCTCTTCAAATCTGCAATACTGCTAGGACATCACCTTGTCAAACCCATCAGAGACAGCAATTCAAGGCAATGCTGGGCCTGTTTCTCCTCTTTCACTCTGTCGCATGTGTGTGACGTCCTTGCTGGGAGAACTGTGGGATCCTGAGCTGATACAGCTCAATCATGGTGCAGAAAAGCAGGAGAAAGCAAAGAAAGGGATCCACAGGGCACTGGGGATGGCCTTGTGGCAAAGCAAACTCAGAGAGGTTCAGCCTTTCCTGGGCCTGAGGGAGTTACCAAAGCTGCTCAGGGAGCCCCACCACTTACTTTGAACCACTTCTCTCCCTCTCCTTGGCCCCCAACTCCCAGCATACACACACATAGACATTGCCTGGGTTTAAAACCTCCAATTATAAATTCTACTAGATACTCTCATCAGAGGAATTTAGATACTTAGTTTTACCATTTTTTAACTTTTGAAAGTCTTCCAGAGTGTCTACAAATTTCTCTTCAAACTGGAAAACAGTAACAGTAAATGAGTTCTTCTTCTTTCATTCCAAGCATAGAATTCTTAAACTTGAATGGCCCCTGTCTGGCACATAATAAGCAGAAGGAAGATTTCTGAGCTTGGCAAGGTACACAGAGAAGAGTGATCAGGGCAATTTGGAAATTTAGGTTAGTGCCATCAATGAAAGCAAATAGGTTGCAGCAGATAGCAGCTCATTCTTGCAATTTCAGTTCACCTCCATCCTGTTTCCAGCTCAGTGGATGACTGAGTCATGATTTCAGAGGGGGGTGTCATGGAGGGAAGGAACTGGAAAGTTCATCTAGTTATGGAGTTTTAATATCTAAGTAAAGCCTATCTCTCAACATGAGATCAGGACAGGACATTGTGTGTCCTCCAGCATAGGGTACACCAGGGGGCAATGACAGCCTCAGGTGCTGCCACCTGGTGCCTCTGCTATCGTTTACATCATCCTATTCCATTTTATATATTCAAAGGGGTACTTTATGGTAAAAGTGTGGGAATTTGGGGTTTCTAACTTGTCCAGTGGAAGCGTTTATTGTGGATCCACATGGCTCCACAGGGTCAGACTATAGAGACAGTGAGGTGGGGGTGGAGCAACTCCTAAAGCACCCAGTTCCAGACAAACATAAGGAGTGGTGGCTGGTCATCAAGGGAGGGTGGCCAAGGTGGGATGGGGTTGGCTAGTGAGATAGTGTTTGTGAGGCGAATGGAGACGGATGGGATGGTGAGGACCAGCCTTTGGGCACAGAGAACGCAGAAGAACTGACCAAGAGCCTCTGGTAAGTCCTGCCCCACCCCATCTTCAGTCAAGCTGATGGAGAAGAGGAAGCCTGGGATGCACTCCACATCTCCCCTACTTCCCCCTCCTGTGCTGAACTCATCCTGCCCAGGGGCTCTGAACACATCCCTCAACCCCAAGTCTGACCCTGGACTACAATGAAAACGGGTTATTGATTTATAGAGAGAAAACTACCTGGAATAGCACTATTTCAATCTTTTGTGTACTTGTTTCTTCATGAAATTGAGAGAGGTCCAGGCTAAAGTCCCATGTATCTGTGAAGCAATCGAGAAAGTGTAATCCCATGGCTTCAGTAAACATGTTGTTATGAAGCTCAAGAGAATCCACTGGAAGCTCATGTCACAAGACATCACCTCACCTGGAACCCTCCTTTTTTGTTCCCATCTGAGGGACAAGATCTCCTGGGCTCATACATGACTCCCTCCCCAGGAAAACCCTCCAAGATTTGCTGGTGCCTCTGGTCTGGACAGAGTAGTGTGTTTCTCAGTGACACCTCCAGAGGCAGCACTCAACACAGTTCCAGGAAAACCTACCATCTTTCCACTGAGACTATGGCATTTTGACACTATAAATGCTTGCGTGTCCTCCTAGATGCTCCCCCCTCCTTTTAATAACCTCTTTACTTGTTTGCAACTTCACTAGAATATAAGCTGCCTGAGGACAGGGCCTGTGTCTATCTTGTTCATCTGGGTATCCCCAGGACCTAGTACAGGATACGGCACTTGAAGGTGCTCGACAAAATCATTGCTGAGTGAATGCATTGCATCTTTCACTGGCAGTGTCTTACAATCCCCTACTCCCCATATTTCTGGTTATGTCTTAACTTTAATTATATTTTAATATTATATATTTTTATGCTTTTATTAAGGAAATTTCTAGCATGTATAAAATAAATATAAAAGTACAAAGATCCTCCCTGTACCCTCACCCAGCTTCGATAACTATCAACTCAAGCCAGTCTCCTATCATCTGTATGCCCACTACTCTGCCCATCTCTTAAAAATTTGAAGCAGATTCCAGATATCATAGCATTTCATCCCTAAACCTGTCAATGTATATTCTCAAATATGACAATATTTAAAAATAACCACAGAGGAGATCTCGTCAAGAAAGTGGCATAAGCAGACTCTGAAGTCATCTCCTCCCATGAACACAACCAGGTTACAACTATTTTTGGAAAGCTTACCCTGGATAGAAAACTGAAAACTGGATAAAAAGAACTCCCACAACAAGGGACAGTCCTGGCTAAGGTGGAAGGGGCAGAAATTCATGCTGGAGAGAAAAAGTCACCTTCAGGAGCAGCGGAATTTCTCAGCTGGCCAGGCGGGAGTCACCCTAAGGTACGCAGGCCTCCCTGGAGAAGTGAAGTCCAGAGCGGGGCCCAATACTGTTATAAGCATCCTTCAGAGTCAGCACAACTGACACAAGCGTCTTACTATCTGACTTTGTGGCTATTGACTGCAGTGGGGTATACCGCCAGAAAAGCTACTGGATGAAAGCCAAAAAGACTTGGGTCTTACAGGGCCCACGCACAAACTCACCCATCTCAGCAACCTAAAATCACCAGAGAGAAGGTTGACACTCCTTTGGTGAAAAGAGACTCACTTGGTGGGCTCTGGGGGCATCTTGGTGAGAAGAGGGACCTCTCTGGAGACTGAGACATTGGGGGGGGGCCATTGTTCTGACCTGGTCCAGGTGTGCTGACACAGATCCCAGCAGACACCATTGAGCTTCTTCCCCTGGACTGTTAGCCCAGGGGGCTGCCACACCCACTAGAGCAGCAGATTTAATCCAGTTCAGCCAGGGCAGGCAGCCCACCACAGGGACCCACCCTGCCCAACAGCAAGCCCTCAGGCTACTTGTCAGCCAGCATTGACTGGGTGCCTTGATCATCTACAGGCAGGCGAGTGTGTCTGCCTCTGTGGGGCAGGGCCTGGGTGAGGACCAGGTGAACTGTGGGCAGCATTGGTGGAGAGGTGGGGACCTCTGCAGTGGGGCATCCAGGTATGCTCCAGGAAGCTGGGAAGTGTGCATGGCTCAGGACTGTATTGACGGTGTGTGTGGTCCTGTGGGGGGTGATGCTTATCAGTGGCAGAAGACCTATGCTTCACAAATAGCCATAAAAATGATCAGCTCCACCTTCTAAAGCCTGAAACAATTGAGTGCTCCCATGCCTAAGGCCATCCCTATTCAGCTGTACTCCTAAGAGAATTGACAACAGCCTTGTAGGCCTGAGGCCTATTGCAACTGTAAGCCCCTGAGCCTAGCAACCAGCTACACTGGGTACCTACCCAATTAACAGGAAAACTGCAACATGAGTGTGCTGTTAGACCTTGTAGCCAATGTTGCTGAGGCACCCCCCCAAACCAGATTTACAAACAAGCCAGGGAAGAAAAGACTAGACTCCCTGGATACTTGTCTTAAGAGCAACCCTGCCACAGTAGAAGGACACAAGTAGCCCACAAAGGGGTCACTCCTGGATCTTTTGGACTGGTGACAAGAGGGAAGCACACAGCTGGGCCTCAAAAAGCATCTCTTACATAAGGCCACTTCTCCAAGATCAGGAGACATAGCTGACTCACCTAATACATAGAAATAAGCACAGAGAAAGAGACATAATGAGGAGACAAAGGAATACATTCCAAGCAAGGGAACAGAACAAAACCCCAGAAAAAGAACTAAATGAAACAGAAATAAGTGACCTACCCAACAAAGCATTCAAACAAAATCTCAGAAGGATGCTCACAGAAATTAAGAGAAGATTGGATGAACACAGTGAGCTCATCAACAAAGAACTGGAAAACATAAAAAAATAACTAATCAGAAATGAAGAATACATTACTGGAAATGAAAAATTCACTACAGGGACTCAATAGCAGAGTAGAGGATACAGAAGAATGGATCAGCGAGCTAGATGAAAGTCTAGAGGAAATCATCCAAGCAGAACAAAAAAAGAAAAAAGAATTAGACAGAATGAGAGCAGTCTAAGGGAACTCTGGGACAATATCAAATGCACTAACATTGGTGTCTCAGAAGGAGAAGAGAGAGACAAGGGGGCAGAAAATTTATTTGAAGAAATAATAGATGAAAATTTTCCTAATCTAAGGAAGGAAACAGACATTCAGGTACAGGAAGCACGGAGAGCTCCTAACAAGATAAGCCCAAAGAGGCCCACACCAAGACACACTGTAATTAAAATGTCCAAAATTAAAGATAAGAGAGAATCCTAAAAGCAGCATGAGAAAGGCAACAAGTGACATACAAAGGAAAGCCCATAAGGCTATCAGTGGACTTCTCAGCCAAAACCCTACAGGCAAAAAGAGAATGGCATGACATATTTAAAGTGCTAAAAGGAAAAAAGCTACAACCAAGAATACTCTATCCATCAAGGTTGTCATTCAGAATGGAAGGAGAGATAAAGAGCTTCCCAGACAAGCAAAAATTAAAGGAGTTTATCACCAAGAAACTGGTTCTACAAGAAATGCTGAAAGGACTTATTTAAGTGGGAAAGTGATGACCACAAATAGGGATTAAAAAATTATCAAAAACAAATAACCCTCCCAAAAAAATCCAGGCAATAAAATCACTGGTAAAGGTAAAAATATAGTGAAAGTAGCAGATCAACCACCTGAGAAGATAACACAAAGGTTAAAAGACAAAAGTACTAAAATCACCTATTTCAATGATAAGAGGGTAATGGATAGACACACACAAAACAAGACATTAGATATGATTTCAAAAGCATAAAATGTGGGAGAAGGGGAGTGGAAAACTAGAGCTTTTAGAAAGAGGTCAAGCTAAAGAGTCTATCAACTCGATATAGACTGTTATATACATAGAATATTAAAAAGGATATTCATGGTAATCTCAAATCAGAAACCTATAATAAGCAAGCAAGAAAGTAAGACAAAAGAAATCAATCATATTACTAAAGATAGTCATTAAACCACAAGAGAAGAGAGCAACAGAAAGAGACAGGAACAGAGAGCAACTACTAAAACACCCAGAAAAAAAAGTAACAAAATGGCAATAAATACATATTTATCAATAGCTACTTTAAATGTCAATGGACTAAATGCTCCAATCAAATGCCATAGGGTGACCAACTGGATAAAAAAACAAGACCCATGTATATGCTGCATACAACAGACACACATCAGACCTAAAGACACTCACAAACTGAAAGTGAAAGGATGGAAAAAGATATTCCATGCAAGTGGCAAAGAAAAGAAAGTGGGGGTAGCAATACTTATATCAGATAAAATAGACTTTAAAACAAAAACTGTAACAAGACACAAAGACGGGCACTACATAAAGATAAAGGGAACAATCCAACAAGAAAATATAACTCTTGTAAATATCTATGCACCCAACATAGGAGCACCTAAATATATAAAGCAATTATTAACAGACATAAAAAGAGAAATAGACAGTAACACAATAATAGTAGAGGACTTTAACACTCCACTTACACCAATGGATAGATCATCCAAACAGAAGATCAATACAGAAACACTGGCCTTAAAGGACACATTAGACCAGATGGACTTAGTAGATATATACAGAACATTCCATCCAAAAACCACAGAATACACATTCTTTTCAAATGCCCATGGAACATTCTCCAGGATTGATCACATATTAGGCCACAAAACAAGTCTCAATAAATTTAAGAAGATCGAAATAATACCATGCATCTTTTCTGACCACAAAGGTATGAAACTACAAATCAACTACAGGAAGAAAAGCCACAAAAATGTGGAGATTAAACAAAATGCTACTGAACAATGATTGGGTCAATGAAGAAATCAAAGGAGAAATCAAAAAATTTCTGGAGACAAATGAAAATGAAAATACGACATGCCAAAATCTGTGGGATACAGGAAAAGTGGTTCTAAGAGGGAAGTTTATGGCAATTCAGGCCTACCTCAACAAAGAAGAAAAATCCCAAATACACAATCTAAAAGTGCTCCTAAAGGTACTGGAAAAAGAACAACAAACAAAGCCCAAAATCAGCAGAAGGAAGGAAATAAGAAAAACCAGAGCACAAATAAACGAAATGGAGACTAAAAAAACAATAGAAAAAGCTAATGAAACCAAGAGCTGGTTCTTTGAAAAGATAAACAAAATTGACAAACCCTTAGCTAGATTCACCAAGAAAAAAAGAGAGAAGGCTCAAATAAATAAAATCAGAAATGAAAGAGGAGAGATTACAATGGACACCTCAGAAATACAAAAGATAATAAGGGAATACTAAGAAAAGCTATATGCCAACAAATTGGATAATCTAGAAGAAATGGATAAATTCTTAGAAACAAACAACCTTCCAAAACTGGACGAAGAAGAAGCAGAAAATTTGGATAGACCGGTCACCAGTAAGGAGATTGAAACAGCAATCAAAAACCTCCCAAAAATAAAAGCCCAGGGGGGCTGGCCCCGTGGCCGAGTGGTTAAGTTCGCGCGCTCCGCTGCAGGCGGCCCAGTGTTTCGTTGGTTCGAATCCTGGGCGCGGACATGGCACTGCTTGTCAGACCACGCTGAGGCAGCGTCCCACATGCCACAACTAGAAGAACCCACAACGAAGAATACACAACTATGTACCTGGGGGCTTTGGGGAGAATAAGGAAAAAATAAAATCTTAAAAAAATAAATAAATAAATAAATAAAATAAAAGCCCAGGACTAGATGGCTTCCCTGGTGAATTCCACCAAACATTCAAAGAAGACTTAATATGTATCCTTCTCAAACTCTTCCAAAATATTGAAAAGGAGGGGAGGCTTCCTAACGCCTTCTATGAAGCCAGTATTATCCTGATACCAAAACCAGACAAGGATAACACAAGAAAAAGAAAATTACAGGCCAATATCACTGATGAACATCAATGCAAAAATCCTCAACAAAATACTAGCAAATTGAATACAACAATACTTTAAAAAGATCATGCATCATGATCAAGTGGGTTTCATTCCAGGGCTGCAGGGATGGTTCAATATCCACAAATCAATCTATGTGATACACCACATCAACAAAATGAAGAATAAAAATCACATGATCATCTCAATAGATGCAGAGAAAGCATTTGACAAGATACAGCATCCATTTATGATAAAAACTCTAAATAAAATGGGTATACAAGGAAAGTACCTCAACATAATAAAGGCCATATATGACAAACGCACAGAAAATATCATTCTCAATGGAGAAAAACTGAAAGCTATCCCTCTAAGAACAGGAACCAGACAAGGATGCCCACTGTCACCACTCTTATTTAACATAGTATTGGAAGTCCTAGCCAGAGCAATCAGGCAAGAAAAAGAAATAAAAGGGATCCATATTTGAAAAGAAGTGAAACTCTCACTCTTTGCAGACAACATGATTTTATATATAGAAAACCCTAAAGAATCCACTAAAAAACTTTCAGAAATAATAAATGAATACAGTCAAGTTGCAGGATACAAAATCAACATACAAAAATAGGTTGCTTTCCAAACCCTAACAAGGAAGTAGCAGAAAGAGAAATTAAGAATACAATCCCATTTACAATTGCAACAAAAAGAATAAAATACCTAGGAATAAACTTAACCAAAGAGCTGAAAGATCTGTACACTGAAAACTATAAAACATTGTTGAAAGAAATCAAAGAAGACACAACAAAATGGAAAGATATTCCGTGCTCTTGGATTGGAAAATTAACATAGTTAAAATGTCCATACTTCCTAAAGCAAGCTACAGATTTATCACAATCCCTATCAAAGTTCCAACAACATTTTTCACAGAAACTGAACAAAGAATCTTAAAATTTATATGGAACAACAAAAGACCCCGAATAGCCAAAGGATTCAAAGAAAAGAACAAAGCTGGAGGTATCACACTCCCTGATTTCAAAATATTCTACAAAGCCATAGTAACCAAAACAGCATGGTACTGGCACAAAAATAGACACACAGATCAATGGAACAGAATCGAGAGCCCAGAAATATACCTACACATTTACAGACAGCTAATATTCAACAAGGGGGTCAAGAGCATATAATGGAGAAAGGAGAGTCTCTTCAATAAATGATGTTGGGAAAACTGGACAGCTACATACAAAAGAATTAAAGTAGACCATTATCTTACACCATGCACAAAAATCAACTCAAAATGAATTAAAGACTTAAATGTAAGACCCGAAACCATGAAACTTCTATTAGAAAACATAGGCAATACACTCTTTGACATTGGTCTGAGCAGCATATTTTCAAGTCCCATGTCTGACTGGGCAAGGGAAACAAAAGAAAAAATGAATGAATGGGACTACATCAGACTACAAAGCTTCTGCACAGCAAAGGAAACCATCAACAAAAGGAAAAGACAACCTAACAATTGGGAGAAGATATTTGCAAACAGTATATCAGATAAGGGGTTAATATCCAAAATATACAAAAAGCTCATACATCTCAACAACAAAAAAACAACAACCCAATTAAAAAATGGGCAAAAGATCTGAACAGAGATTTCTCCAAAGAAGATATATGGATGGCCAACAAGCTTATGAAAAGATGCTCAACATCATTAGCTATCAGGGAAATGCAAATCAAAATTACAATGAGGTGTCACCTCACTCCGATCAGAATGGCTATAATTAACAAGGCAGGAAACAAAAAGTGTTGGAGAGGATGTGGAGAGAAGGGAACACTTGTACACTGCTGGTGGGAGTGCAAACTGGTGCAGCCACTATGGAAAGGAGTATGGAGTATCCTTAGAAAATTAAGAATAGATCTACCATATGATCCAGCTATTCCACTGCTGGGTATTTATCCAAAGAAGTTGAAAACACAAAGGCATAAAGATACATGCACCCCTATGTTCATTGCGGCATTATACACAATAGCCAAGACTTGGAAGCAACCTAGGTGCCCATCAAGGGAAGAATGGGTAAAGAAGATGTGGTATATATACACAATGGAATACTACTCAGCCATAAGAAATGATGAAATCCGGCCATTTGTGACAACATGGATGAACCCTGAGGGTATTATGCTGAGTGAAATAAGTCAGAGGGAGAAAGTCAAATACCGTATGATCTCATCATAAGTAGAAGATAAAAACAATGACAAACACATAGCATTGGAAATTGGATTGGTGGTTATCACAGGTGAGCGGGGAGGGAGAGGGCAAAAGGGATGATTAGACTCACATGTGAGGGGATGGGATATAACTAGGTTTTTGGTGGTGAACATGATGTAATCTACACAGAATTCAAAATATATTATGATGTACATCTGAAAGCTATATAATGTTATACTCCAATGATATTGCAATATAATAGAAAAATAAATAAAAATTTAAAAAACCATGTCACACTTAAAATCACACCTGAAAAATTAATAATTTTTTATTATCTAATATTCAATCAGTCATCAGGTTTCTAATTGTTGTATAAGTGTCATAAATGATATTTTATAGTTTGTTGAATCCAAATCCAAATAAGTTCTATACATTGTGATTAGTTTCTTTTGTTTTCCTTAAACATTTCTTATAATTGTTTATGTGGTTTCATGGGCAGAATATTTAAAATTTCTAGTTGGTCAAGTCAATCCCATTCTTATTTAATATGCAGATATTTTTATTGAAATATGCAAGACCATTCATAGGTCATCTAATATTCAAATCTCCCAGCTTATGGGAGAAAGGATTTTGACAGTCAATTTTAGATCCAACTTAATATGAATGAACTCAGAACCAACCTCTAGCCCAGCAGCAGCCAGGAGCCACTGGATCGACTCCATCTGCCCTCCTGTGCTGAAGTAGTGCAGCCTGGGCTTCTCTGACGAGATGCAGTCCCCTGGATTCTCTAAATCTGAATCAATGAATGAACTTATGAATGAGACCACAGAAACGCACTGTACTTTATGATGTACATTTGCCCAGAAGGGTGAACTATATGCCTTCTTCATGGTAGGGTTGGAGGAATCCCATAAAAGTCTCCCTTGGTCCAAATTCTCACCCAATAGTGGCCATGATGGCGAAATTACACAAAACCAGTCTCAGGTTGACATTTGTCCTCATTCTGAGGACATCAAAAAAGTAGCTTGTTTCCCACACAGACGCAGGCCCTGCGAGCCTGTGAGGGCCTTGAAACCAGAGGACTTCCCTGACAGCGAGGAGGAGAAGGGAGCAGAGTCACTCCTCAGCTCTTTGGCTGTCATGCTGCACTTGTTCAAAAGCATTAACTGGGGCTTAGTCTTGCCCCGACTGTCCCTCAAACCTTCTAAATTCTCGCCACAGAAGAGGATGTTCATTCCTTTTTTCTGTTGAAATTGCATATTTTTCCACTGCAGGATGAACTTTATTTTACAATCTAAAAATATGGATGTTAGTGCATTACTTTTATAGTATATGGAAAGGAACTAACATGTTTAGTGTCTACCACATAATGGACATTTTATCATTTTTATCTTCATTTCATCTTCATAAAAATTACTTGAGGTAGATCTTGCTATTATTCTAAGTTCACAGTTTGAGATTCTGCTGTCTATAGCGGTTAAGAAACTAGCCTAACATAAGTGGTGAACCTAGCAATCAAACGGACTTTTGACACCAAATTCTTGTAGCTTCTCTATACCAGTGATAAATAAATAGCAAGCAATAGAATATTGGAACATACGAGGAAGCCATTTGGAGTAAACCTAATTTGGCCTGACCCTGTTTTTCCAAAAGGGTCTGACATGGCCATTGAGCGTGCATTGTATATCTGACTTAAGCCTTTGCTATGTCCCAAAGGCAAGAACAAATGGCCTTAAGATAAAGATGCAACTTTTCCCTTTTGGCATTTCCTTCAGGATAAGCATCTCTCCCTAGGCTAGGAACTGATTGTTGTGCTCACCCTTTGACCACTGAGCTCAAGACAACAGACCTGCTACCTGCTGTGTCCATCAAGGCAGCAGACTTACTACCTACTGTGCAAATAGCTGTGCTGTGCTGGCTAGGCAGACTAGCGACTGTGGTAAAAGGGACATACCTATCATATGTGACGTATGTTCTTTGTTCCAAGATGGTATAAGATTCTGTGTACCCCACTTCTTTGGTGCCTTTCCTTCCTCGGGGAAGGAAGGCCCTGGGCCAAGCTAGTCCTTAGATCTGGCTCACAATAAACTCACCCCAATTTTCATTTATAGGTTAGTCGTGGATTATTTTCATTGTCTTTTCTTGGATAGTTGGCAGGATTTCAGAGAAGCCCACCAGAGACCACCTGGAATCCACACTGAACCAACATTCAGTACCAACAGGGGCCCACTGAGCCCCCCTGGCTCACTGCATTCTTCAGGTGACCCTGGTGAGTTCTCCTTAAACTCAGGCCTCCTTATTTTAAGTCAATGATCCAGAGTTTATATGAGCTGTTTCAAACCTTAAGACTAGATTTCATAAGGGGGTACCAGTACCCACCCTAGGTAAGAGAAACCTAGGGGAAATTCCTGGGAAAGAGTAACCTACGGGGAATTTCCTAGGCCAGAGAAGCCAAGGGGGAACTTTGGAGTAAATGAGGCAGGCTGACATTTTTAATTTGGATTTAAATTGGAAAGAATTGTGTTTATAAAGTCTGAACAAACTGCTTGATAGAGAAATGAGAGACTGAACATGTTCAGCTCTGAAGAAAAGGGGCACTTTACTCCTGGCCAAAAAGGCATTCTCAAGTGACTGAGGACCTCAGCAGGAGTGTTGGAGGATCAAATGCCTCATGATGCATAGTGGTCCCATAGGGAACTCCACTCTCATTCACATCAATTAATTACATGTTCATCCAGGGATGTGTACATAAGGATTGGTCACCAGAGCTCCGAACCCCAGCGGCAGTTTTAGACTGCCAGCAGGAGAAACCAAGGCATGTAAGAGAGCATTTATGACCTTTCTTTAGGAAGCAAGACTTGCAAGCAACACACTTATGACCCATTACACTGTCCTTAGAAGTTGTTCAGACTTTATAGCAAAACAAAATTAAAAGAAAAGTGGGAAATTGAGCTTCTAAAAAAGCCTGACCAGTTCCCAAATGGGCAGTCTCTCCTCTGAACTCCAGTTGGCATCATGCTGTGACTTGCAGTTGCTTAACAAAAGAGGGAATATTCCCATCCCAGACTCCTAAAACAGAAAGAAAGAAAGAAGAAAAATCTGGGAAAAGAAGTTTTTGCACATGCAGTCTGCTATGGAAGCACTCTTACCCAAAAATCTAAGGAAAATCTTTGTTGTGTCTGTCTATTGTTTATGTGTTTGTCTATATATATACGTTATAACTGTGAGGCATTTTACCTCCAGGTGACACAATTTCTAAAGAGATCTATTCAATTGACTTAAAGGAAGTGCTTACAAAAATTTTCCTAAATGCAACCAACCCAAATGTCTTCCAAGTTAACATAAGATGAAATAATCTTTGGTAAATGAAAGTTGTTTATCGGTTTGATAAAAATAGGCACGTCGTAAGAGCTATCAGCATTGGATATGATGCAGACATGCAGCCTTTATTCTGTCTATTGGTCAGATAAACTGTTGTTATCTCTATTACAAAACTGGTTAACAAAAATAATAATTTAAAATGGCTAATTTTGTCTAATGTCTCATGAATTCTTCTAGGTAATCTAAATAATTATTGGGAACAAGTAACTAAATAGATGAGAAAAAGATGAGTATTAGGTAAACTTTTAACAATAATTATGTGTTATGGGGTATGTACTTAAAATAACTTCAAAAATCTCTTTGGTAACTTGAAACTTTGAAGTTTTACTAGGTTTTTTAATGATAAAGTTTCATTAATATCTAGATTTATCTCTAAATAAGAAAAATATTAGACATTATTAAATAAAAGTTTATCTACTCTTGGCTTCTTATTACAGAAAAACTAAAAAGTATTTGAGTCTGTTGGTAAACATGTCTTGTGTTTTGTTAAAAGGTTATACTATAAAGTAACATGTTTTTAGAAATTGTAAAAGGTACAACCTCCCCATAATTCATACCCTAAATGAAGTCTTTATTTTGACATTCTTTGAGAATTTTCAGAGGGCCCCTGGGACTTCTCAAAGAAATTTGTTTGGTCTTCCTATCAAGGGAGAGATACTAATTAGGCTTGTTTGATGCTAAATTGCATGGGAAGCATTGTCAAGTAAATGATGATAAATCTTAGGTTATATTGTTCAGGTAAATATTCACTATTTTGATCCTACTACCTTGCTTCCAACATCACAAGGGGAGATGACCACGATTGCATTCTGTTATTTCATTTGGTTTACAGATGAGTTTTAAATAATAAGCAAGGATGTTATCAAGCTGTATATACTGTCCACCCTCAAGAATGTTCACTATTTCTATTAACTCTGCTAACCCAGTCAAAGATTTCCTTCTATAGGCTCAAGAAGTCATCACAGAGGAGAAAAAAATATATATATATATTATATTTTTAAAAAGGCATGTGAAACTTTAATTTTTATATGTCAAAATAGTTAAAATGTTCCAGAGGGCCTTTATTTTTTTTTTTTCCTTCTTGGTCACATTGTTTCTCATTGACATGTAACATATTTCCTCTTTTTAATAAGTTTGGTTCAAACTTCCTCAACTAACACTCATTGAGCAGTTTCATGTATCAAGCAAGAAAAGCTGGTTGGGGACAAGATACAAGTCTGATTTGTTCCCTGCCCTAAATGGGTTTAAGTCTAGTCAGAAAAAAATGCTTGTAGACACCGAGATTCTGAGACTTCCCTCTGTAAGGTCTCTGCTTTGTTCTTTTTATGTTGATGATACTTCCAGGGCACTACTGACTCTCATTATGTTGCCTTCTACTTGGCCACTTCATGTTCCTTCTAAAAACTAATTCTATGCTCCATCGATGTATCTAGCTCTCCCCTCAAGACTTCCCAAGTTACAGAGACACAAGGTATATGAGAAGTCAGTTAGTCCTCCAACTGTGTAACAAATACACTGCACCCCAGAAAGAGCACGTAATTTGCCAGCCAAATCATTGATGATAAAGTCTAGAAATCCTAATTCTCCTGACACTCAGACTAGTCTTCTTATTGTTCCTTATTACTGAATTTTCACAGCCTGCAGAGATTACAGTTGTCATGCCCCCCACTAAATTGTGGGCTCCCAGAAAGCAGAGAAGGTGTCATTGTCTGTTAGCACAGTACATTGCTTGCTATGCCACTTGCTCAATGTTCAGCACACCCTCCATAGGACATGGCATCGTTAGCTCTCAAGAGCCACACTTTTTCTTTTTTTTTCAGCATTTCACTCATAGGGCTCACCTTTTTTATAGTACAGCAGTGAAGAGTAATTAAATAATAAGCTGGGATCATGGTAATAAAGGAACCAATCCTGATTATAAAATCCAACATTTTGCTATTTAAACAGAACTATCAAAGCAGTAGAACTCTCCCACAGAGGAGAGACATCCTGACTACACGAAGAGATTGAGAAAGTGCTTTAGGAGCATAGCCAGGGGGAATATGTAACTTGGCAAATGGAAGGACTGTGCAAAATCCTCTGTCGGCCTGGGGACGTGACAGCTCAAGAGAAGGGCTGTTCTGAACTTTGCCTAAGAAATAAATCTGGATGCACTTGCCTAACTATCCTAAAAGTCCTATTCTTTTAGATTCTCTGTCAATTTGGAGACTTTTCTTCATAAGAAACCCAGATCACCTTTTTGTCCCCCAAACATTGAACCAGGAGGAGGAAGAGAAAGAGGAGAAGGGAAGGAGGAGAGGAAGCGAGTGAGGAGGAGGGGGAGGAAGAGAAAGAGAGGGAGAAGAAGAAGCAGAAAGAGACAGATAAGGAGAGGGAAAATAGCATGCTACTCAGCGCTCAACCACAAAGTAACCACATGAACAAGTGAACACGTGTGAAATCAGCTATGAAGTGTAAGTTCAGATTCTGATGGGCAAGAATTGGTTGGTTGGTTTCCCAGTAGCAGATGCTGGTTCAAGAGGCATGCAAACCACTCAGATGTATTTTCTTTTCACTGCTCAAGTGGGGGTCCTCAACTGTGTGACCCTGCCAGATTTAAATCCAGTAGGGTTTTGTGCTGACTCCCGTATGAATCACAGTAATCCGTCATCTGGAATAGAGAAAGCCTCTAGCGTAAGCTCATACCCTCCTCCTGACATGGGAAGGGTTGTGTTTTCACATTGCCCATGATAATTACTCTTACTTTTCCTATTTCATCATA